CAGAAGTGTTGAAAGAAAATTCCAGTCATCCCATCCTCACCTGGGGCCTTCTCAGGGTGAAGGCTGAATAAGGCTTCTGTAATCTCCTTTTCTTCAATGTCTGCAATGAGCTCAGAGTTTTGCTGATCAGCAATGGATTGAGGAATGAAATTGAGAATGTCAGTGTGTCCAGAGGGACCATCAGAGGTGTAAAGCTTCTCATAGAAATTGCAGACATAATTCTGGATCATGTGGTGGTCCTCAATAGAATGGCCATTATCATCAGTGAGTCTGGTGATTGCATTAAGTTTCCTCCTGTGAGCAGTGAATGCATGAAAAAATTTAGAGTTTTTGTCACCCTCCTTTAGCCAAATTAATCTGGACTTCTGCTTCCAAAAGAGCTCCTCATCATGATATGCTTTGTCCAACTCTGAATTAAGCCTGTTCCAAGAATCCCAATCTCTATCACCAGAAGATGTTCTGATTTGTTCAAGGGCATCAGTGAGCACTTTGATCCTCTGCTGATTGTTAGAGTGATGACTGCTGCTCCATTTCAAAAGAGCAATTCTTGTTGCTTTAATCTTTTCTTTAACTCTGAACATGGGAGTCCCTTCCACATTCTGAGCCCAAGCCTTAGAAACAATTTCAGCAACTCCTTCCTTGGCCAACCATCTCTTGTCAAAGCAAAATCTTCTTTTCTTTTTACTAGAGAGAGGTTCAGAATTAATGAAGAGCATACTGTGATCAGAGGAACTTCTGAATATGTTTTCCACTATAGCATGAGGATGATTAATGGACCATTGATGGGAACAGAAAGCCCTATCCAGCTTCTCCTCTACATAGCCCTCCTCTGATTTGTTATTAGCCCAGGTAAAAGTGAGGCCTTTCCATTTGATTTCTATCATTCCCATGTCAGAAATAAGGGTGTTAAATCCAGCCATACTAATAGGAGTTCTAGCTACTCCTCATTTCTTCTCTTCACTGTTGCAGATGTCATTCTAGTCCCCTGCACAGAGCCAAGAAGATCCCCACTTATCTTGCATAACCCTAAGTAAGTCCCATTGATGATGCCTGATGGTTCTGATAGAGCTCAAGTAAACAAAGATGATCCAAACCGAGAAGATAATTCAAATTTAAGTACTGATAGGAGTTCCAGTCCCCTGCACAGAGCCAAGAAGATCCCCGCTTATCTTGCATAACCCTAAGTAAGTCCCATTGATGATGTCTGATGGTTCTGATAGAGCTCAAGTAAACAAAGATGATCCAAACCACATCAATGTTGGAAAGTACAATTTTGCCCCTAATAAAATTTCACGCACAAACCCTAGCCCCTTCTCCTCCTGGCCATCTTCCTCGATTTGCAGGTGGTTCAGAGACACCAACGAGGGCCATGGCGACGACGGCCTTTTCTTCCTCAACCCTGAGCATTGTCAACAATTTGGTCTCGTTTTTGGGTCTCCATCGGACGGGCGACGAGGGGCTTAATTGGTAGGATGACGTGCTAACCGTAAATTCCCGTTTGCCTCTCGTATTTCTTCCGCTTAGACCCCTAAAATGTGCTGCAAATGGATATTTATCTCCTCCACTGGCCACTAACAACAACCACAATCAACAAACGAGGCCTGAATAATAACAGAATAAGCACGTGTAATGACAACGCGGAATCTTCTACTTTTTCCACCCGTACTACAAGCGAGATAATTATCTCCACTGGCCACTAACTAATATAATTAAACTGCAACAATATATAAATATAAATGCACACCACGCTATGAATACTCAAATACGATTAATTATTATTCTTTGAAAAAAGCATCAAGATCAATACATATATATATAAAAACATGCACTAGCAATGGCCTAAGTTCAAAAAAGTCAGAAAGAAAAAGAGAGAGAGTCTCAGGAGATTATTGGTGGAGATGAAAGCAGCAGATAATACCTCTACGGAAAAGGGAAGAGTATGTGTGACAGGTGGAACTGGTTTTCTTGGATCATGGATGGTTAAAACCCTTCTTCAACGTGGCTATCATGTCAACACAACTACAAGGCTTGATCCAGGTACAAACAATTGAAGCTCATTAGTATAAACACTTGAGCTTCATTTTTTTT